GTACCCGCTTCATAAGAAAAGAAGACGAGTTAGGCCATAAGAAGTGGAGCGTCACAAGACAGTCTATTGAAAGAATATGGAGATGGTTTTCACCATACAACATGCATTTAGCCAACCGTGACCATGGGACAAAAAAAAACAATAGGTACATGCAATTTAGACCTGAAAAATACTTTTATTTCCAATGAGGTTTTTGCCTCTAGAAGCTGCGACGTCCGATTCGTATCAGTTCCGAATCCAAGAAATGAAGGTCCGAAATGTCACAGGTGTCAGAAATGGTATTTTATCCCTACGATTATGTGTATCAGACTTAGTGCACAAGCAACATCCGAAGTGGGTCCGAATTTTCTAGATTTGTACAGTCTCGGATTCGGAACGCATACGAATCGGATGCAGTGCGTAAATGCGCTAACTGTAAATAATACAATCATACTGTAGTGCAGGTAAATATAATTGTTATTGTATATATATTTCTGAAAATGAGTGTGGCGGCAGTTTTTGTATAGACAGTCAATTAGGCCGTTGAACAGTTACTGCGTGTCTCATTGTTCCCTATCCTAAGAAATACCTCACATACTAAAAAACATTAAGCACATTATAAAGTCTAAGTTTAATTTATATTGTAAATAAAGCTAATATTATTATTATTGTCGCAATGTTTATATCGCTGTTCGAAGTTCCGTATGTCACCACTCTTACAAGGCGATCTCGCCACAACCGTCTTTCATCTGCGCCGCCGATGCCGTTGCTACGTCAGCATTCGAAGATTGCACTGATTAGAAAATTTATACTTAATTCGAAGCCGCTGAAAGTGGTAACTGCACTTAGCCGCTCTCCAAATAGTCTAGTGCGATTTGAAAATAGTCACTTGCCTTTTTTGTAATAGATTACTTTAAATAAGGCTCCATTCCTTATATCAGTGGCTATGCAAGTAACGTGGTATCTGGTATATCGGTTATGATAAATATCGAGCTTCTCGTAACATCAAACTCAAATAATCTTTATTTTTATCACTGTTCCTTTTGAATTTTTAATAATTTCTAATTTTCTTATTTGCCTCCTGGTTATGAATCTAGATAAACAGTAATAGTTTATTCTGCACTATTGCCGAGAGAGGGAGCCGGGAGTGCCATAGCACGGGGATTAACTAGTTTGGACTCCTGTCTCCCATTTCTAAGCTCTATGTTCAATCATGTACTTATATGTTGTATGATATTATATTATTATTATTTCATAGATAAGCAAATTACACTTAAAATTGACACATTGATTAAACTCTACTATCTTCTCTCATTTGTAAATCTGATTCCCGTGTGAAGATGACTAAAAAAACCTAGAGACTGCTCTTTGTAAATAAACATTCGTACCTACACATATATCATATTTACAACATTTATATCAACAAATCGAGACAACCTGCTAGAGCTAAATGGGTCCTAATATGGATTTTAGTCATCCAAATACGCAGAAGCTGTATATAAACCTGTAGCGTTAAGTTTATGTTTCAGTTTAGACTTAAACCTCGTAAATGGCAAATTATCAAATTGTTACTCTTCAAAATACTTTAAAATTAAGTCAGTTCATAAATTAAAGTATTGAAATCAAAATGTTTTTAAATTATCGATAGTAAAAATTTACAAACCAAATAAAATAATAATAACATTATTAAGTAAAAAACAAATAAAATTATTATTTAATGAACAAGGTACTACCTCAACAAAAAACCTTAATTAAGCAGGTATAACATTGTTATCACTTTTATTCGTCTACTGTAAACGACTATGGGGGCTGAGCTGTAGTTACCAACGGGGTTACAGGTGGTTATAGTGAACAGCCACCAGGTACGATGGCTAGCTGCGAATAGTGAATAAGCAGTCCCCAAACAATCAGCAGCAGCGTTATCAGGACGTAGTGGAGAACCCAGTGGGATGATTTTGCCTATAAAGACATCGATTGCAACATGGCGAGGAAAAGCCTCCATTTTAAAGGCTTTCCCCTAGCATCGGACAGGGGCAGTGCTAGAAGAGTGGCAAAAGGGGGATGAGAGATTTTTAGACCTGTCAACTTACTATTTCTGCGGCCAAGCTGTGTTCTTGCATTATTGCGTTCCGGTTTTGAAGGGTAAGGGTGCTGGTGAAATTACAAGCAAATGAAACTTGCCAACTTATGTTTCAGGGTAACGGGCGCAGTGGCAGTGCCCCTCAGATCTTTACGATTTAAAGCTCTTAGTGGCACTGCAGCTGTTATGGACAGGTGTGTCGCTTACCATCAGGCGCACGGCTTCTTCGTCCCGTCACTTGATATTATAAAAAAACAATAATAATAAATATAAAATTAAGTATTAGTACAACTTCTTCTTAACGTATCGATGGCGTCCACTATAATAATCGACATATATAGCACTTGTCGATTGTTGCCTAGGGTGCGCCAGATGTAAAGGAAAGTAATGATATGTCGTGCGGGAAGGCTCCTTTCATGAACCCCAGTAGTATAAATAATATAACTAATAATCTCACTACAGAGTACTAAAAAACCGACCTCAAAAATCATTAATTCCCTACTTTGCCACTCTTAGAGCTGGAATATTTACTTCAAATTTAAATGGCACTACTAGTACTGAGGTACCCTCTTTCCAACAAAAAAAAGAATCATCAACATCGGTTCATAAATGTGAGTTATCGCGTAACATACATACAAAAAAACAAGCAGTCGAATTGAGAACCTCCTCCTTTTTTAAAGTCGGTTAAAAAATAAACACAGCAACATATTGTCGAATACAACGACGTCAAACAAAGGAAATAAAACTTAAAATGTACAGACAAAAATTGTTATAAATATATAATATGTTAATTAAATATACAAAATAAGAGTTGAGTTCAGGTGGACTTATCTTTTAAAGATATATCTTCCAGCCAACCGAAGACATTAGAGTAGCAAGTGAATAAACAGCGTATAAAATAGAAAGGGTGACAAACATTATAAACTAACAGATTTTTTTTCACACATTTTTTTTAATAATAATAATAATCTTCATTTTCTTTGCAAAGTTTACACTTTACTATACTTACATTTTTTTTTAATGTAAATCGTGTGCCTAATGCTACACGCCTGTCCATAACAGTTGCAGTGCCACTCAGAGTTTGAAATCGCAAAGATCTGAGGGGCACGGCCACTGCGCCCGTCACCCTGAGACATAAATAAGTTGACAAGTCCCATGAGACTATGTAATTTCACCAGCACCCTTACTCTTCAAAACCGGAACACAGTAATGCTGACATTACTGCTTGGCGGCAGAAGTAGGAAAGGTGGCAGTACTTCCCTGGACGAACTCTTTCACAAGGAGCTCTACTGCTACATTAATTGATATATGTTATAGACCACAATATTTGCAGAGACTGGTGCCTGAACTAGATTGATCCTGTATTTCAGGTCACCAGGTCTCTACCTCTGTAAAAATCAATATACATAAAAAAAGAAAAGGCAAAATAATGGATGTTGGTCAGACAAAATTTAAAATAAAGACTAATTTACTTAAATAACTATGGTAAATTACCGGTACGATACGATATAAGTATCATAAACACATACAAAGTATAACGTATAATAAGTGACGTCAATAAACCTACGTGTATACAAAAACAATAAGTTGATTACGAAGAAAGTACAGCATGAAAGTATGCTTTCAACCTTTTCTTAAAGGAAGCTATCCACGAACTCGATCAGATCGATCGATAGAAAAATTGTTTATACATATTAAATAGAAAGAGGCTTAAAAATTACGCGAAGACTGACCGAGATTCCACTACACTTAATTGTAATTGAAATGAACTTGTTTTACATTAACTCACCCACGCGAGCAATTAAGATCTCGCCTAAGTAAAAACGTAAGAACGAATTGAGATCGGAGACTGCAATTTATATTGGAGAGTTTATTTGCAATTTATATTATATTATATTATTAAAAAAATGTATTCCTTTTATTTTATTATTTATAATACTATCAAATAAATACATTCTATATTATGCTGACATCATTCAAACAAATTAAAAATTAACAGACTTTCACGCGTAGTATGGAATGAAGTACCTACCTACAAAGACGTGTTAGAGAACGTAAAAGAACAAGGGAAGTACTATTTCGCTGGAATAAGGCTGTCGTTACGACATATCTTTGGCAACTAACAATTGTAAGTATGCCACGCATGTGTGATTGCGTACGCACTTGCAAATCGTGAGTTTCGTGTACTATTGCCGGTGATAGGTAGAAACTTATGGAAATGTTGTATTAGTATAGATAAAAATCCTGTGTGCATAATAAAATGATGAAATGATTGTTTATTGAGAGTTTTGGATATCTTTTCTAATAATTTAAATAAATAAATAACTCACACACTCAACATAGTCCCGCACTAGGGAAAGCCTGTGTCGCGGGTGCCATGGACACACACAGATACAACCACAAATTACACCCAAATTCACGAGAGAGATAATTGTAGGCCATACAACTATTTCTCCCGGCCCGGGAATCGAACCTGGGACATCTGCGTGGCAGTCCGGCGTGGTAACCGTTTGGCCACAGAGGCAGTTAAATAGTAAAATATGGTCAATTAGTCGCAAATATCTTTTTTATTAAATTGTTGCAAGGACATTCTTTTAAATTACTATTGACAAAATGGCTTTTGACACATTGCTTATATAGTAATAAAGAATACTTAGAATTTTCAAATACAAATTTACATTAATTTGTAGTGAAATTAACAGTAGAAATCGAACATGATATTTATGTTTGTATATCGCCTTGCAGGTTGAATTGTATTCACCTTATTTTACCTTACCTAATTTTATTTAAGACCTTTATCATTACTATATTCTGGCAAATAAACGTATTCCATTATATTCTATTACAGTTACAAAATTACCGAAATAAAAATACTAAAAATTATTATTTTTTTAGGATGCAAGTAAATTTAGTGTCTAATTCTGTGTATTTTTGTTTCCAGATGACTCCCAGTCCACGGATATATGCCATACTGTGGATGTGCGCCCTTGCCGTCATGTGCACAGCGGCGGACTCCGACAACACCACTACTACGAAGGCCATACGTACTACAATCCTACCTTCACGGACCACCAGAACTGAACTCAAAGTATCCAGAAGCCTCAATCCCCATGAAACTCAAACTCTGAATGTCAAAACTAGATCCGGGCACATGACGCAACTCATTGTCAAGAAGAAAGACAAATCTACCACTCATGTTACAAGTACTACACCGACCCCCACTACGGTGGCCGTAAAAACTACTGTAGCTACCAACATCACTGACGAGGCTAAAAATAAAACTGAAACTCGGGATCAGAGAAAACTAACGTTCCCTGGATCAACAGTCAACAGCGATTTAGCTGGATTTGATTATTACCTAAATCGCAACAAGAACAACGATGAACCCAGTGACATTCAGGCTGAATATGGAAATTGGTCACCAGTGTCAGTGTACCCCGAATCACATATTCAAGAAGATGGTAAAAAAACTGAGACTGATCCTGATACTGAAAGTTACTATCCCACCTACGACAACGAAAAGAGAACGGAAAACAAGAAGGTTTACATTACCTCGACAAGCTTTATGGACTACAGTCCCATCAAGAATTACAGATTTGACCCTCACAATCCTGTGATAAAGAATGATAGGAATCCTGTGTATATTGAAGTAGTAAGCACCAAAGTATCCGATGGCGAAGGAAAATCGTTCAATACGCGTGTACCCGATCCTGTTGTTATTAGTTCTGAGGCCATGTACGTAAAGAAAGCTCTCGAGAAGTACAATAATAAACGCGGAAGATCAATATTAACACTCGGCGAAGATGGCATCCCCGAAATTCAAGGTGTAAGAATGCCTGATGATGAATCCGACAAAAAGGTATGGAGAAACGCTAGAGTTGTCAATGGTGAACTGCTGCCCTATCCCGGAGGATATACACCACCAAAAGCAATTCCTGAAGCTGATGTCTACCCAGCTGATGCTACATCTACCGATCCTGCTCAGAATTTCGGTCCTTTCACCAAAGAAGATAATTTCGAACACAAAGACGGACCTTTCACTAAGTTCGACAACCTGAAATTCGATACCGGTGACGTTATCGAACCCTACATACCACACGACAGCCCTGCATTTATGTTCAAACACAAAAAAGATAACTATTATGTCAAGTCCGGGTACGGTCCTTTCACCAAAGCCGATAATTCGAAAGTTGCCAATTCCAAGCTCATTGAATATATTAAACAAATTAACGAGCAGGAGGCGAAACGCGATTACTTCAGCGGGCGAAGTTCCAGAGCTCATAATGGGGACATGGATTATTCTGAGAGTCATATTCAAAGACGTATGCTTCAACATCCTGGAGAAGTTAGCTTTCCTAACTCTCTCATGTATACTCCAAAAAGTGCTCAGCCTAGTTTCGACGAAAGCGTAAGGAATCCTGTTCTTCAATATGCTCACCCAGAACTAGGAGTTCAGCCAGCGAAAGCGACAAATAACGATTACGAAAACAAAGATCGAAAGGTGAAATACTACACGACTAACGTACCGAAAAGTGCCCATCCATATCCCATGGAACCAATCAACGGTTACGGCCAGCAACGCTCGCAGAGCACAAGTACCTCCGCGAACAGATTTTACGAAGACGAATACAACAAGTTCTCTTATTACGACCACAGTAACCACGCTCCAAACAACTACGCTCCCAGCAGCCACGCTCCCAGCAACCACGCTACCAGCCCTACAAAATACCCTTACTATCGCTACGTAAAAAGAGTACCTGAGCCTTCTTTGTGGTCTCGACTCACTAACTCCATGAAGGACACTATCAATACTGCTAGCCAAACAGTTCAATCATTCACAAGACCAATAATTGATCCCATTGCCAAAGTAACTCAACCTGTTTTGGAACCGATTGTTGAAGCAACGCATAAAATTTCGCATAACCTTGGATTGTACCCTGCGTCATCTATACAAAGTCAGAGATATGCCCAGGATAAGATCGGCGTAGTTACAGCTGCAGCAGGCACACCCGCTGTATTGCCAGCCATAGGCCTAATGGCGGGAGGTGCTGCATTAGGCCTTGGAGCGATGGCTGTTGGTAGATTTTTGGATGTCAACTTGATGCGCACTGGTATGTTAGGCGAGGAAGAACAAGAAGAACTGGATAAGGAACATAAACGCTCCTTTATCGACACGCCGTATGATATCGACAGCAAAATCATAAGCAAAAAAAAAGTTTACGATGACAACTATAAAATGCCAAGTGAGAATGTTTATGTGGTGATGTCTCCTGATGGCGAAAGTGCGCGTGCAAAGCGTGATTTATTCAGTTTATATGAACCAGTTCATCAAAGCAGTCATAGGGTTAGGCGGCGTATAACGAGGGCGCTTACTGAATACATTCCTGACGATCTACAGCACCTTGATGGAAACCCAATGTCATCGTCACTGACCACAGCGGCAATGGATATGGTAAAGCAGACTGACTGGCGAGACACGCAGTGCGCCAAGTTCACATTCTGCAAAGTATTGACATCACAGCACCCAGATTCCATATTTGCGATGGAAAAGAAAATGGAGTCGTTACTTAAACTGTAAGTACCAAGAATTGCTCTATACTAAATAATATCGCCTTTAGCATATCATGATAGCGGAAAGACTTAGTATTCTATCTTATAATATTCATATGCAACATTTATAATGTTCAAAAATACTCTGCTACTAAAACCTCACGTACGTAAAACAAACAATCACAATACCTTAATTTAACGTATACGAGAGAACGTAAAATATAATATGTAGAGGGCCAGCTTGATCTAGAATGATACTCGCTAGTCGCCAGCGCAGTTGTAGGAAAGATATATATTATTGTAAAACAAACATATAATATCCATCTATACGTTCATCAATTCTGATCCACACAAATCAAAATTATTAATACTGAAACAATCAATCTAACTCAAATCTGTCACAAAAATGCACAAAGTAAGCCCACTTTCTAACAATTTGCACAGGTCATAGAAAAATCCACATGTCGCAAAGATAATGCCACATTACACATTATACAACACTACTAATGTCGCGAACACATTGCATAAACCGAAGCCCAGCAAGAGTGAGTGGCGATTTTATAAACAGAAACGGAACCAACGGTGAAAGCGATTATGACTATTCACGTCATTTAATACATGCTTTACGATAGACAGTAATAATATGTAATTAATGTTAAAACGTGCTTCTACAACATTTGCGAATTAATGACGCAAAACTATTGAAATTGATTATCTTCTTGCATGGTTGCGAATCGCGTGTGAAACTTTGCGCTAAATCATAAATTAATTACTTCAAAAAGATTTGAAACAAATGGATTAAAGTTGTTTAACGACAACTTACGTTTTAATGTATCAAAGATGTATATAGTCAAACATAAATTAGCAGCATGAAATTTACATATCTACACCTTTCGTGCTTAGTATCAAATGTCACCGTTATGAAGTGTAGGGTACGAATGGATCATTTTCTGGTAGACCAAAAGCGTATCGTGTTTTATTTAACCCTTAAGCATAGCCGATTTAATTTTTTCCATGATTCCTTTGTGAACTGTAAACTTTAAATGAGCGCAAGTTACAAACTACTAATTAATTAAAAAACCTACTATAACAATAACATACAAATGATACTGCAAAAAAATTAAATAAAATTACAGAAACAAACAACAATGTAAACTAATTTCTATTCGAAGAAACGCGAGCGTAATGTACATAAGCCTCACGTGCGCGGGCGCATCAGGAAGGATTACTATTACCTGCCGGCCAATTGTATCGCAGGAAACATGGACACACTTGCCGTTATCACCCGATTATAGCACGTTAACAATCGATGCGTTTCATAACGATTGTTAATGACCGCTTCTTTTACACGTTTGGTTTTTATACAATCATTATACTGGTTTGTTTGTTACCTTTTTGCTTTTTATTTTTCTTATTTGTTTTTCTTAATGACTTTTTTGTAGACGTTTTTGATAGTAAAATGCTTTCTTTCTCTAATGTTTTACTTACGGAGAGGTAAACGCCTTATACGCGAGTCTAGATTTTAGAATGTCAGGTGTCGGGAGCGCCACACGCGCGTCCCACAAACCGCACGCAAATATGATTAAGTAAGAACAAACCAAAGATATCGTTGGAACAAACGAAGAAAATTTCACACAGATCCGACGCAGCGTGTCGGTAAACCGCTAAGCAATTTTCAAGTTTTGGGATAATAGGAATTTAATACCTACTTTATAAGCCCTATAGGCTTCAGTTGAAAACTAAAATTTTGCAGGTTCTCTGTAGTGTTTAAAGAGAAATATCTCCACATAAAAATTACGTGCAAAGCTAGACGATTACTTTATTCGTAAATAATTAATTTCAGAATTTTATTTTAGCCTATTTTCGGGATTTTATATGATCGAGTAAAGTACATCCTATCGTTTAACAAAGTTTGTAAGACCATATTTAAATATCCGAAACATTTTGATCTAGTAAAACAGTTTCTCCGGCTTCTCTTAAGATGACTCGCCTTAATAAATCCTTTCCTCGTGTTTATCATACTTGTGTATTTTAGATGTATTTAAAACAGCTAAATTTTCATTGCACAATTTCCATGTCGGTGTGCCTGGTGTGTCTGTTGGCTCAGTTAATTGGGTTACGATTCATAAACAATTAATGATGGCAGGGTCACCAGCACTCTCCAATAGCACTGGAGACAAAAAACAATTTTTAAGATGGATACGTTTCAAGAAAATTTGGAGAACATCCCAATGATATAATAAATAATGGAAGAAGAAAGTAAAGTTAGGCCTTGGCATATGCATAACAATGGACCAGTAGCTTGCTAAGTCTCCTTCAAAACACATCAACAACAACACCATAAATTTAATCATAATTATTATCTGTATAATGTATACCTTTTAAACTTTTGTTCTAATATCGCCTCCAATGCACGGAACAAGATCCGTCAATGTGTAGCTTGATGTGCTGTCGTCTGTACTACTTCTTTACATATCCATTCATCCATCTTTGTTTAGGTGAACAAAAAGGTACATTGTAATGTGAAAGTTTCCGTGACTCTACAATAAACAAGACTAGCCTGAAATAAGATGTAAAAACCATGACTACACTGAACAACAACTCTAGCCCAAAATATGATATAAAAAACTGACGTACTATAACAGTCTGTAGTCGCTGCGACACAAAATACACAGAAAGTAAGAAACTTACTGGTTCAGTGTTAAAGCCCTTTTTAAAACCTACACATCATGCGTGGATAATATCATTAATGCAACTGTCGTATTCAACGTCCACATGTGCACACAGATTAATATAGACTAGGGTTGTCGCAGATGTCTGCTTCCGCATCCGACATCTGCATCGATCGATGCAGAGTTTTTGCGGATACGGATGTTTTGCAGGTCACGAGAAGATAGTCGGGAGAATGTCTTACTTTGATTTTAAACACATCCACATCTACATCCGCGTCTGCAGAGTTCGACAACGAAAAATTCTCATCTGCGTCCACATCTGCAGATATTGTCATATAAATACATAAATAACGCACACACTCAACATAGCCCCGCACTAGGAAAACCCTGTGTCGCGGGTGCCATGGACACACACATAGACAACCACAAATTACATCCAAACTCACGACAGAAATAATTGTAGGCCATACAACTATTTCTCCCGGCGGCCCGGGAATCGAACCTGGGACCTCTGCGTGGCAGTCCGGCATGATAACCGTTCAGTCACGGAGGCAGTCATACCCCACATCTGCGGTATTACTGATCTAAATGACTGTAAATGATCAACAAAGTCGACATTTTGCACCTTAAGGGTTTTGTTTGGCGTGTAGGCAACGGTCGGTAGCGACCACCCGCAGTTTGCGTGTTCTTGTCAACCAATAGCGTTAAGGGTAGAACGTATTTTTAATATAAACTAAAGATTTTCACAAAAAAAGGTAAAAAAATAAGGAACAATCGTTACCTGCAAACAAGGCCATTTTGAAATAATAATATTTATTTATTCAAATTGGTGTAGCTTCAACTTTGCTAACAGTACGTATTATATATTATCCCATATGATCGTTCGTTTAACGCCCATGCAAACGCGACGTGATAACAACACGTCACGTGCGCAGCGAAAGTGTCGGTAAACGCTGCGTCCGCACCGCCGCCGGCGGTCGTGCCGGGTTAACGGATGACCGCCAACGTGAAAAAAGTGTTTATTTATATAACGAGTAATAATAACTATGGCATCAAAAAAATGGCAAGGAATGCCTTTTATGTACAGAATCGGGATTCTAAACTTTCTGTCATTTTGTTTTGCTTTTATTTATAATACCTAGTGACTATTTTACTGTAATTATTTTGTAATGTATTTTGTAATTATTTGTTTACTTCTTTATAAGCACGAGTATGAAATGAAATAGATTCCGTACTACATTTCGCAGCCTTGGCGTAAGAAGGTGACATCTGCAAAATGGCAACTTTTATGGAAAGAGGTTTAAAGATTCTACAAACGAAATTAGTCGATAACATGTTTAAGCTTGAATAGTAGAATTCTACAATTTCAATAAGTATCTATATTGTGATCACACATGGCTTTATTATACCAACGGTACGATTTCACATAAAATCGTTTAAGAAGGGTATATGTAGTTAGTAAGGGTATATGTACATATAACTGCTACACTATAGCTAACAAAAACATGCTAAGTGGTCCACCAATTCACTTCCAATTTATTGTATATTTATGAACTGCCCTCTTCTGCTTCTCCTCTGCTTACTTTACAATATTTGGATTATTTTAGCTGCCTCCGTGGCCAAACGGTTACCATGCCGGACTGCCACGAAGTCCTACGTTCGATTCCCGGGCAGGGAGAAATATTGTGGTTGTTTGTGTGTGTGTCCATGGCACCCGCGACACAGGGTTTCCCTAGTGCGGGGCTATGTTGAGTATGTGCGTTATTATTATTATTGTTGTTTGAAACTGAATCCTCTAAGGGTCGTATTCCAGAACTCTACTCAATGCTCAAGTCAAGATCTGAGTATGATTTCAAGCACTGGAAATACGACCCTAATGGCAGGGACTTGAGTATGATTTCGAGTGCTTTAAACCATACTCAAATCCTGACTTAAGCATTGAGTAGAGTTTTAGAATACGACCCTAAGATTCTTAGTACACAGATAGCTACAGATATGATTCACGTCGCATCCCAAAATCGAGAGAAAACGCAACCTCAATTTGAAATTCAATTTATTCCGAGCTGTGTGTATTGTTGCATCACGCCGATTTTTCTCCACTGGCCACAGACTGCTTGCCGCCAAAAAAACGTGTTCAGGTGGTGCGTTCATAACCTCCTAGTCGTTTTACCTTCTTACGTAAGGTGCGTTCGGAAGCGTAGTGAAAGTGACCGGGCGGCATTCCATGTGAAGTTGTCGATATTATGTTGACATATGTTTTTGCCACTTTGCCGACGGTGATAATATGATAACTGAAGTGTATGAACTACGCATTTCGAAGTATGTAGTTAAAATGACCACCCACGTGCCATAAGTTTACTAAAGTTAATTTCCCAGCACTAGCATCGATCATTGGTAAGGATTACAAGACTTGTGATAGATAGATTTCCCTTTTTCAACCCAAGAATCTTTGAGGCTGGGTTGCTCTGAAGGTTTGTAACTCTCACGGTTGATGCGTGATGGTGGGACGAAAAACTAATCACGAAAACGGTGAATAAGGGTGTCCAAGGCCACCCCCTTGTACGTCGCTGTTCCTCCTCAAAGATCACGCCAACGTGTCCCCAAGGTCATCAGAATTACTCCGGCGGTTACGTGATATGCATGATGGAGGAGCGAATTATTTTATTACTCATGAAGACACTGGATAAATAATCATTTTATTCATAATTTTGTTGAGCAACGTATACTTGATTGAATAATAACCTCAAAACGTGTGTCACTAACTCTTTTAAAACTTGTAGTAGTTGAACTAATGAAATATTAAAAGAAATTCACATTGTTAAAATTATTTTTCAAATTGTAAGTAGAGTGAGTTGTAAGTACTGACCGGCTAGTACAGTCACCAGTCAAAATTTTTAATGTTACTGGTCTGAGTTAATGTTAGCTAAAATAGCAGTCTTTGGACTGATTACTAGTCTTACACAATTGCTGAAACCAATCCGAAATACTGTAAGGTTTAAAATGCCCCTACACGGACTGACAGGCAGAAAGGCTCAATATATTTATTGTCTTCATATGGTACATAAAGTCTTAAAATTACAATAAAGTTACACCTTGTCTTAGGGATAACAACAAGAGCAGAGGCAGGTCGAGGCTTATTAGATTAGTCACTTAATTGTTCACTATCAATATATTTATAATAAAAGTATGTCAGTGAGAAAATGCCGATTTAATTAAATTACAATAATATGAATGTATAAAAAAACATAATTCAAGTTGAATTATTAGGTATTAATTTAATTATTAAAATTTATTACAATATTACATTTTGTCATTAAAGTATTCACTTAAATTGTAGTAACATTTATTAATTAGGTATAATATCAATTTATTAAGAAAGAGTGAATACTTTTTCTCGTTCTTAATGATGGCGGAAGACCGTTGAATATTTTTAGCGACATTAAGTGGGGACCTGATATGTATTACTATCCCATTCTAATAGAACATTATATGCATGTAGAAATAGGGTTGTTTGCACTAAATATTAGACATAACTGGTTGATGACTTTACCATCTCAGTCAGTAATCATGGGACCCCGTGTAAAGATCCCGAAACGTTCGCATGTTCGAAAAAAATAGGCGACTTAGATCCGATAAAACAGTGTCATTAATGATGATACGAATGCGTAGTAACCGCAAAATTTGAAGAACTCGATAATGAAATCGCGCGCTTGTTAGTGTAATTAGGCCACATCTGAAAAATGACATTTCTAAAAAGAGTTTTATAGACGAAATTAATCGATAACTGCACACATCAGAAGTCTCTACAGATCAAGATTTTTTTCACATTATTTGATTACCCCATTGACTTACAAATAAATGGACGAAGGGTCTAATACGAAAACCACGAAAAAAATGTCCCAAGTCAACCTATTCGAAATTTAAATTGTAATGTCATCGCAGTATCGCGCTGTCAGTAGAACAAATGAAGACTAAAGCGGAGTGTCGCGCTCTGTATACGATTTTAGCGCCTTACAAGTGCGGACACTTTTTAGCGCGGACCCGACGTCCATATAATTGTAAGTCAATGGATTACCCTGTTAAATTAAATTTTTATTGAATTGATATTCAATTATTTTCTGTGAAATTACTCCACTAGTTTGTTATAATTATTAATACAAAAATCGAACACTCAGAAAAAACACTCAGAAAAAATTCCTTCGATCCGGTCGGATTCGAACCGACGTCTTCTTGCATACCGTGCCAGACGCTATACCAACTAAGCCACGGAACGAACCAACGGACCTCACGAATTTTTCTATGTGCTTGCGTCGTGTCTTTGTACGTGGTTTTTCAACGACTTTTTAGTCGTAGCGCCATCTATGAGAAATCTTTGACAGATTTATCACCCAGTTAGTACCTTTACAGCTACCAGTCCTGGCGAGAGATGTCGCTATTCACTGTATTAATTAATACCCTGTTAAAGTTAATTAAAAATACACTATACACATTTATTAAATTATTTATGAAATTGACCAAAAAAACCATTGGTGTTAAAAAATATTAAAACCTGATTTTCAGTAAGTAAGTAATTGGTAAAAACGTGATCCCTAGACACTCTTGATATGTATATTTTATGCTTAAATAGGTTTTTTTATACAACGGCAAGATCGTGCGCCTGATTGTAAGGTACACGCCTGTCCATAACAGTTACAACGCCACTCAGAGCTTTAAATCGCAAAGATCTGAGGGGCACTTCCACTGCGCCCGTTACCCTGAGACATAATTGACAAGTCCCATGTGCCTGTAATTTCACCAGCACCCTTACCCTTCAAAACCGGAATACAGTAATGTTCACATTACTGCTTGGCGGTAGAAATAGGTAGTGTGGCTGTAGATACTACCCTGGACGAACGCTTTCACAAGGAGCTCTACCGCTACTAAAAATTTAAGCATAAATTGTTTTGACAGCAATGGTTTTTTTTGGTCAATATAAATTCACATACATAATACAACTATAAAATTTCACACATATGTATATAGAGCAATAAAACTTCACATACCTATACATAATGAGTTTCGTGTATATCGTTTTGTTTTTCTGATTTTCATGCTTTAAAAGCACTTTCGACTAAAGATCACGAGGCTTTTTTATACCAAAGGGTACGAAATATTGCTCAATTCCCCTATAGATGATGATTACATTAAGTTTATTTATAGATTACGCGGCTCACATTATTGTTCATTACTTATATGTTATGTTATGGACCTTCTTCTCTGTTTTGTAGAATAACATATATTCCGTAATAGACATCGGAATGGACCTAATTCCCCTCTTCTCCTATTCTCAGACTTTCCCGCGGCAGCGACGGCGCAATGGCAGCGACAGTGGCACACCAGCTTGGCGACGTGATGGCTGCGAGCCGCGACCACGATTGCTCACGATTCCAATGCACAACACTGCACTGATACACCACTTCACGGTGACTAGTGGATATCATACGATTACATGTCTAAAGGAGGATCACCTGATAGTGACTTATGATGAAGATTATTTTACTATTAAGGGCATATTCGCTAGTGAATATTCGAACAGTAAAGAATATTAGAGCAGTAGAAGCATACACATAGAGATTACATTAGTCTCTGAGTAGATATAATTTTACTGCTTTTTGACGGTGCTAATTCTTAAGTGTGTATTCACCAAAGCGCCCTAAATTCTGCACGTTAACAAAATTATATCAAATACGAGTCACACTTAACACCAAGTATAGTTGTAACTCAAAAGTTGATAGAATTGAGAAGACATGATTCGAAAGTTAAAAAAAAACACTGAATGGATCTTATTGCGAATAATGTGATTATTTTTATTTATACAAAATACTTAGTTATCCATTTATAAATGAGGATATAAATTTATATTTATTCAGTAATTTTTTGAACTTTCAAATCGTGTTTTATCAATTACATAATTTTTAGTTACGACATTTATTAGGTTTTATGTGCAGAGTATTCTACCTTCTGAAGAAAGAAAGGCACAAGTAGCAAATTCTAAATTCGGAATAAATTCTTTTTAAAAATTTTTTTTTTTATAAAAAGCATAGTTACCATATATATTTTTTATATTAAATAGCTTATTTATGGCGAATATACTTAAAACCTAATTTATGCAGAAAATTACACTTTTATTATATTTTCATTAGTCGTTGTAAAAAACCTTAATTGTCATTAACTTAAATGTTACTTTTAATATTTGACTTATTATAGAACTAAAGGCAGCAATTATAGTCAGCTACGCTTTTGTGTAAATTCATAAGTCATTATTGCAATTAAACTCTATAAAATTTATTGATATTAATATTTTATAACTTAATAAGCGTTAAGTATTACTTTTTACAGTAAAAGATCTAATAGTTGTTGAGTTATGCGTTTCGAAATTACTGTAATTATTGTAAAAGATTTTTAAATTTTTACAAAAAAAATAGGTAGCTTAGCCTTTTTTCCTGATCCAAAATTAATAGGTAACTCAGTTTTGATAAAAATGTTACTTGTGCCTTTTTTGGTTTCGAAAGAAATATTGCTGTTTAAGCTTTTCTAAACAGCAAAAACGCCGTACAATATATACAATATTTATAGTTATTATATTTTGTGATGCAATAGTTTGTCTGCATGCTTGTTTTAAGTCTTTGTGTTAAACGACAATCATAAGTTATCTTATCGACAGAAACAATACAGAGTGAAACAAAAAATGTAGTTTACAATGATATTTTACGAATTAGTCAGTGTGAAAATATTCCACTGCAAAACGTATGTACTGTGTATGTATTCAATCGTTAAGTCAGGCTTAAGTTATTTTATTCGTTAACTTGAGCTTTAAGAATCATCCACGTTTCCCGGTGAAACGCCAAGTGATTGTTAAGATAATAACTATTACATAATTTATTATTATTTATTTAGTCATTAAGTAGGATTTTTAAGTTCAGGGTTGTTTTGCGAATATTTTGTAAGATGTAAATATTTTTTGCAAGGTGACACTCCCATTAAAGTGTGATGACCATGTGTAAAAAGTTTTAATGAGCAACATCTTGTAGAGTATCTTTTAATTTCATTACGTTTTCACTTTGTAAACAAAACTAAATAGTGCTAATGATAGCACTATTTAGTTTTGAATATCTTTTTTTTCACTACTCCGTTTTATTTTTATTTTAAAGTCAAATTAGACATCCACCTGTTGCAAGCACGCTTGTATGCCCGTAAAAGGCCAATGTGTAACATAACTAGCAAGTGTATCTATCCGTAGCCAGCAAATGTAAGGTAACTGGCAAGTGTATATAGTAACAGACAAGCCTGTAGCAAGTAGATGAGGTGGCATATATATATATATATATATATATATATATATACACTTAAAACCCGATGTGTAATAAGGCTAGCTTACAACTTGTATACAGGTAACAAGTATACCTGCAACAGATATAAAGCATAAAATAAATATAAATTATAGATTATAGCCGTATTTCGAAAATATTTATGAGTTATATACGTCTAACTTAACTACGAAATAATCATTTTACTTAGAAGTATATCGTGCGTAAAGTATAAGCTATCGTGACTAACGAACATGTAATTGTCAGCCATATCGACTCGTTCCTAAGGTATTATACCGGCACGAATATAGCGTCATCCTGTATCACATCGTTCATCTTATTGACCTTGTTACCAAATGATTTACGTGTTTTTCCCGTTTCTGAATATTTTATTTTATGTGTAATCATACTAGTATCGTTATATACTTTATGTTATATACAATCAAAAGCACGACAAGTGACATGCACATGTGAAGGCGTCATATTTAAAAATTATTTATTTTTATATCAAAGGCTGGTTTCAGAACAGTGCGGATTTATCTGCAGACCGTCCGCGCAGAGCACCGGAGCGGAGTAACACGTGTGGCGTTAGAACATCGTTTTACAGTGACGCGAATTGCTCCGTACGGAAAACGCTCCTCGTGAACTCCGCACAAGCCACCCGTGCATTCATTGCAGGCGATTGTCTTCCGTAAATGGATATTTATTAATTAAATTAAATTATTAAATTAAATACTCAGTTCTACGCTGGCGGACAGTCCGTACGGACCGTACGCACACCTATGAAACTAGCCTAAGCTTAACTTAGTAGTGTAACACCCGCCACCACGCCCGCGCCTGCACTCTGAACGAGCACTTAGACCTGTTCGTTTCTTCAATTTATATTAACGTACATAAACAATTTCTTAATATTTTAAAATGCATATAGTACAAGTATATTATTACATAATCCTGTTCAGCATTGACACGCATATTTGTCCTATAACGGCTTCAACTCTTCTAGATATTTATCACATTTCCTTCTTTTAATGACTATATGTTAATGTAATCTTTAGGTTCTTAATGAATTTATTTATTTTAATTTTTACTTAATTTATTGGAGAATACCGCTTAAGGTGTAAATACGCTTTGACAAATTGTAAATTATTTATTTATTTTTTTACTATTAAACTTTTCATATCAGTAGTCTTCTGGGTATTTTTTTTGCAATATTTATTGTTACCACACTAAATTACAGAAACGCACGCCCTAACAAGGCTTTAAAAGCAGACAAAATAAAAATTCGTTCAAGGCGAAATAAATTGAATTTTTTACGCGGTGGAGAAAATATTAAAAAAAGCCTCAACTGTTGAATAAGTCCAATCTTTGCGCTTTTCTTTATAATACCAAGTGACGGGACGAACAAGTCGTGTCTCGGTCCATCGCAGTTGCAGTGCAATTCAGAGCTTTAAATTGCGAAGATATAAGGGGCATTGCCACCCTTCCACACTCGTCACCTTGAGACATAAGTTAACAACTCCAATGTGACTGTAATTTCACCAGTGCCCTTACCCTTCAAAACCGGAACGCAGCATTATCTTAGTTTCAACTCAAGGGAGTTATTATTATTACAGTAAGAACTAGAAGATGTGTTGTACCTAGTTATAAAACAATTAAAATAATAAACAAAAATAATAAAAGGTAATTAAGATAACTATTTACAGCAATGAAATCATAATTTGATTAAATAACGTCTGTTTAATTAAATATGTTTAATTAAATTTGCATTACATAACAAAAAGTGTATTTGATAATTTGATATGTTCGAAGGCAAACAGTTCCACGTATATCGCACTGCTATTACAATAGGTTGTAACTCAAAACACATGAAATTCAAGATTATACTACAGCTGAATGTAAAATTTGATTCGCTTCAAGTCAATAAATCCGTCGTTGGTGTATTGCAAGAAACAATTAATATATATATATCTATTTAACTCAAAATTAGACAATTTTTTGTGAGCTGTTTCTGGACAAAACAAGTTACTAAAAAATACGAAATTATTTTTCCCTTTTATTTTTAAATATAATATTTGGAAGTAGGAAATAGTTTAAATGTCTGTAATAAACTTTAAACTATACGTAAGTTTTAACAATATTTCTCGTCAAGTGAGTAATTCGTTTTTCTTCGATTCTGAAAAAATACACTTTTTGAGTTAATACATTATAGTATTAACAGTGCGATATGTTGTATTTTGTACACTATTACGAACAATTTTGTATATTATACATTCATTAAAACGGCGTATAATTATTTTGCCCACCCCTGCATTCACTTTATTTTGAATAGACGTAACTTACAATTTTAACGGGAGAGTTATTTACATTATAAGCAGAATTCGTAAGAATCGTAGCTTTGGTATAACAAAGCCACCTCATGTGATCATACGCCTAAAGTGCATTTATTACATGAAAGTCATAAAACTAATTCGAATATACATATATAATAAATATCAAACAACCTGTAAGCATACCTTTTTTTTAGGTATATGTGATACCTCTCTTAATTAGGTATCTTTAATCCGTACATGGACAGTAGAATAGAATAGAGCAGAAATCATCTATTCCTTGAAACACATTACACATGTATTTTATAATACTAATAATAATACTGATAATAATATTAATAATAACGCTAAGGATTTTAAACTAAATGCATATACTATATAGAGTACAAAGCGTGTGTGTTGTGCTGCCAAAGAAAACGTGACCCACTCAGCTTGTTGTCGTCTCACATTCAAATGCTACGACGCTGATTTTCAGCGGATCCGGCAGTAATGGTGCGTTCCCACGGTCCATTATGTCAAATGTGTCTATTTGTACGGCCGAGCTCGTGAAATGGGCGAATCCGAGCGACCTCGGGCCGTCTCAAGTGGCAGCGCGTATTCGGGTTTATATCAGTGTGCTCTCGCACCACGCCTTTGAAGCTACTGTATATTACTGTATTGACAAAATTCAATGATTTACATTGAACAAAGAAAAGCACTGACATTTTTGCGTGCAGTACTATTGAAATAAAGTACCATGAACGGGATAAACCTCTTTTTTTAAAAGTAGTCATTTTAGTAGATGTTGCCTTATTATATTACACCGAGGTTACAAATTAGTTTTCAACAAAATTGAAAGTTTTTTGTTACAATCATAAGAGACGTCATAGTTGTATTGCTACATGGTATGTCGAACCAATTACAGTATGGCACTAGACTATGTCTTCTTGATTTCGGACTGAGAGAGCTCGATGATCGACTTCTGCATCGCCTGCTCGTGCTCCCTCAGCTCCTTGACGAGCACCGCGCGCTCCTCCGCGACAGCGTTCACTGTCGTCGCGTGGCCCTTCATTCGATACCTGGAACCAGCATATTTCCCCATGACACTCACGCAGTAAAGTTCTACAGACCAAGTACAACGCATCTCAGTTGTTCAAAAAAGTCAACTAGGTTTTTTTTTATATGAGTGTCGCGTCACATACATTCTGCCAAGCTCGTATATGCCCCGAAGACAAATACTGGTATAGTCGCCTGCACTCCCATGTTCCAACGCCCAAATAACGCCTTAAATTGGAATTTTACAGTCATTGTTCTACAGTTCTTATTAGCACCTATATTATTCTATAAATTACCGGAAAAAGAATTAATTATAGACAATTTACAATGAATTGCATAATTTGTTAGTTACTCAATGCTAATACAATATTGATGATTTTGCACTTGACAACATAAAATGTAAAATTTAACTAATGAACCCTACATTTTTTTTTATTAAATTCTAATTGTTTTTGTTCGTTTCTTATGCTCTTGTAAATTTTAAATTTAAATTTCTGCTGCATCAAAAGTAAAATGAAATATGTATACTATTCGTATGTCAGGTTTTGGAGAAATGTACAATTTAAACTATAACGCCATCATAATTATTATGTTCATCGAATAAATATCTTGTATTCATAAAACAATAAATCGTAATTTGTGCAAACAACATAGTATAACAACTTAATTTTGTCACGTGGAATTTTATAAAGCCTGGCTCAAGCCAAATATGCGATAGCCAGTATTTGTTCCTCCCCTAGCTCCATTCGGCGACAGCAATGGTTTAATTTTGGGATTTCGACAAATATCAACAACTATTCAAAGACGCAAAGATTTGACAAGTCGAATTAGCGATTGCAGTAGAGATGCGCTGTTGTTAGCCACGATTTCCATGTGACATAAAAATATGTAACAATGTAGTAGATTATTCAATTCGAACAATTAGTTCTGAAAATCCATACCCGACTTCCTCCTTCTTAAATTCATACTCTTTAATGTCGTTTTCAACACCTGACACGCCCCGTTTGCCACGCGGCTGGCTAGACATCGGCACCAGATCAGCGGCCTTCAGTGTCACCACTTGTGGGGCATCCGACATTTCTATGATTCGCACTGAACAGATAAGACATACATGACATATGGAACCCACTTTAGATCTCTATATTTAAGGATTTCTATTTAAAAATCACTTCTTTTTCCGCTACGATATGTAGTTCATAATGTAATTCATGTAATTAATTCACATCTATGAAATTTTTTAACCGTGATTCAACGGATTTCTCTCCTACAGACACAGACATCACAACATCCTTAACTTTTAATCGGACTTGGTACCAGTAGGATAAAATATTTGGCGACATGGTATCGAATCAAAAGACTGGATGCGATACTCGTAAGAAATATGGGATAAATAAAATCATGCTCATAGAAGTATCGATACTTTTGTTTTATAGGTTTTCCCCGCTTCAGGACAGAATAAAACACCTACGAATAATCGATGATTTTTAAAAAATTACTTGTTTCAATTAAAAATTGTAATATAATGTTGTTTTTTTTAATTCTATATTAATTTACTACATATCTCATCCAGCATCTATTTCCGATTCTAAACTTGAATTACTATTCGAACTATAAATGTTTACAATCTCTCGCTTCAAATAAAAAAAATCATTAGGGATGACACAGTCCTATAAATAATTAATTGCTGGTAACTTGTGTGATTTGAAACGTACATAATATTATTTATATTATATTATTAACATGACCTCAAGATTAATATAATCCATAGCCTAATTGAATTTCAGGGAAAAATATTGAAACTGTGGTAACAGTAAAACCGTCTGAGGTGAAAACAGTAAGTGACCTAACTCCTAACCCTAAGAGCTGAAAACCCTAACTGTTGCGCTAGCATGCCATTGTCGTTTGATATTTTACAATCAATTACTTCAATTGTCACATTGAGACTAAGCACAAATTATTTGAAACTATACCAAAATTTTATTTAATACGAGGCAAGTTTATTTCTATTACCTTGATCACCGCCGCCAACCATTTTCAAATGCTCTGCGTCACCTTCCACTACGCCGGGAATTTTCTCCACGTTGCACTCTTTGCAGGGCATACACTCTTCTTCTAAATTGTATAACTGGTGCATAAAATTAATTATTTAGTGAAGGTGACTCTTTAATTTTCGTTAAGTACTGGTACTGGTGGTAAATGTCTGACATACGTCATCAGACAATTACCAGACCAAATACTATTATACGCCGACGTCGCTCACCGAAATCTTCAACACACTCGGGAGGGCGTTGAGATTCTTGGAAGAGCTTGGGTGGCACGACATCATACCATACCATACTATTATATTTTCTCTTTCGCACATGCTCACCATCTATAGTGCTCTGTTTTAGCATCATTCGCTTGTCAATTAGTAATAAGACGAGGTAATTGTGAGAAGTATAATATTTCATACCCATGATGTAATAAAGCCATGTATGATCATACGTCAAAAGCTGCTTTTATTATATGAAAGTCATAAAAATAATACAACTACATGAAACAAATCATGTGTATGTGAAATTTTATAACACTTTTAATGAAGCGTGTAAAAGTTATCAACTTTAAATCTCGCTCCTAAAAAGTTTTCATTGCGATTTACTCTTTTTTTTACTAAAAAAATTACGCAGGCATTTGACCTCTAATTCACCTTATGGAAAGTGACAATGAGGTTGGCGATGGAGGATGTACACCTAAATAATGCCTATTCACTCTCGCCTTGAAAAGGTCCAAGTTATAACGATCAGGAAACAAGTCTGCAGGCAGCGAATTCCACTCCTTAGCCGTTCGCTTTATAATTGTGGAAGCGAAGCGCTTCGTGCGAATCCTAAGAATATCCACAACATAGAAGTGGAACCCCAACCTACCTACGTGTAGTCCCCCGATGATGGAAAGGGGAAGGTGGAATTAAATCGTGCAATTATGGTTATCAAAGCATATCCCTTTCTCTTTTGCATTGATGAATAATCGATCTTACAAATTATGCGAGCAAATTATCAATCAACCCAATGAAGTCCTACTGCTGACCACGGGCCTCCTTTAAGGAGAATATTCAGGCCACGTATTACCACATTAACCCAATCAGGGTTGGAAACATGACGTCTTTTAACAGACGTGACTTCATTCTACGGCTGAGCCTCGAACATCGAACATATAACCAGAAATAGAGACGAAATGTCATTTAATTTGTTTGAAAACTATTCTGCCAAATCATTACGGTGACGACTGCGCTCCGATTGGCTAGCCCGAAATCGAACCAATTGACGGGTGTTGTCAATTGACGGGTGTCGTCAATTGTTTCACTTCAAATCGACCAGTTTAGTTTGAGCTTTATTATAATGGAAGAAAATTGAAAAATTACGTATTTAATACCGAGTTCTTAGGTTTTCGCGATTGTTACACATATTGTTGACATTCAACCGTGACCATGGGACCTGTAAAGGGCCCGAAATATCGATTTCTTTGAAAAAACAAATATACGCGGATTAAATCCGCAAAAATAGTTTCATTTCCTATACATATTTAATATCTAATTAATGATGAAACGTGATTCCATTTGTTTTGTAATTAAATGTTGTGCTGTTTTCCCACACCACCGAATGGAACAGCCCCTCCTATAGTTCTAACTATGGGGGACTGTTCCATTCGGTGTCTAATGTAATATCTCTAGATATTACCTTTATTACAATAAATACAGAATATTTTTGGAATACACAGAGAGGTACTCACAGGTCAGTTGCTGGCAATGTACTAGTTCAGCTTTCTAACTTGTGATTTCAGTGCAAACGAAGAGTTAATATTTAAAAGTTATATAAGGGCCATTTGGCTGATGAGTTGCCAGGGATGGATGGCCCTTATTTTTGTCTATTTCTGGCTATCTACTCGATGGCATCGAACAATTAACTCGCTGGTTACATTTTTGGTGGTAGTGTTTGGGACTATAGTTATAAGGATTGTGTATTAATAGGTATTATGAACTACATGAAAAAAATATTCAACACAAGCGAAGCCATTTTTCACGATTTAGGCTTTACTGGGTTCGCAAAGCCAAGTTATTTACTTCCATTTTTATGGACATGGAATTTAGCAAAGTTGAATCTATCAATTCTTTGAACTGTTTTTAAACTATCGCCAACATGCAGGTTTCATAATTATCATGATTTTTGCAAAATATGCAAGTGATAAAATCAGTCATCTTAACCAGTGTTGTTTCCTTAAAATTTTTATAAATTAAAAATCCGTATCCGCATTAATCTATGCTGATATTCTGTGCAGATATTTTCTTCGTGATATTAATTTACTAACCATCCAAAAACGCTGCAAGCCCAAAAACCAGCAACCGTAGTTCTTACGAATTTTTGTGTCCTTGTTTTTCGGATTTGTATCTGGTTTTTAATAACGTTTTAGCCATATCTATGAAATGGTTCGTTAAAAACCGACTTTTTAGCCATTTCACAGATGGCGCTACGGCTAAAAAGTCGTTAAAAACCAGATACAAAGATCCGAAAAACAAGCACATACAAAAATTCGTGAGATCCGCTGGTTCGTTCCGTGGTTTAGTTGGCATAACGTCTGACACGGTTTGCTAGAAGACGTCGGTTCGAATCCAGCCGGATCGAAGAAATTTTTTATAAGTGTTCGTCTTTATATTCAATAATGGTGGTGAAACATCCTGACATTCCATAAAATACTTGCTTGTCACAAAGACATTAAAAAAAAACAGAATTACAAGAAGCTTTTTCATGTAAGTTCAATAAGGATCTATACATTTTTTATATAAAATGTGTAAAAAAATCTGCATCAGCAACAACCCTGATCTTAACTACCGATGGCATGAGACATGAACTCTGATCTCTAGCACGAATGGCAAACTTTCTATAGCAAGTATTCAATCAGAGCTTAAGTAAGTTTTAAAGTATATCTTATACACTATCCATATTACCTTGCCATCGGTGCCGGTGCCGAGGAATCGTTTGACAGGACGCATTTCTAGAGTGCACTGCGCATGCTCACGCGTCACGAACGGCGATAGCAGCGTGTGCGAACCGCCAACCCAGCGTTGGCACGCATGCACGCTGTCAAACGCATCATCGATCATTATTAGTCCAACATTAACACAATACCACCACGGCTCCCGGTAATCGTACCACTTATAGTATAACAGCTTCGGCTTCTAAGTACGGCGAAAGGCGACAGTTTTTGCACCCTAAATAGTAAAGTGACGTAAGAAACAAAAATAGTATTTTAATCGTTGCATAATAAGGGTTCTTACAGTCAAGTACAGTGACCTAAGGTAATAAGTACGAGATTTTAAGACCTAATTATGTAATAATTGCACACAATATATATACTTTTTCTACGAGTAAATTAAAATAATGGAAATAAACCAATATTTAATATTTAGTCACTTTTTCTGTACTTCTTCTTTTAAATGTTATGGCCCCATCGAAATAATCATGATTTCCCCAAAAATTTACTGGTGAATTTCGTCAGAATTCACTGAAAGGAGAATCGTCAAATCTAAAACGACAGAGAACCTACACAGACTATTACAACAGTTAGTTAACAATCCACGACAACGAACTCAAATGAAAGCCAAAGAAACGCAAGTATCCGTGATTCAATCAGGAGGCAGTAGAGCGTTTGAGTAGCATCTTAATTGATATTTTAATTACTAAAAATACTTTTTTCGTTTTAATAATTATTGTTTCAGTTCAGTAGCTTTTTTCGAGGTACTTTAATTTTCAAGTTATAATTGAAATTTGTGACCTAATGAAAAAAGTCATTGTTTATTGCACTTCAGTTTGATTCACTTTCAAGAGCTCACTCTTATTTTGGTTTGCAAATAATAAGTATGTATAATAGTCGATTTTGTTTACATGATAATTTAAATTTACGTAATTTATTTTTTGTTCGTTTGACGTGTATTTGTTCTTACATAGGGCGCACTATAAGTTTCCGGAACTGGCCACTTACATAAACAATATTTAAAAAGTAATTACAACATTTGAAAATGGAACTCTTTGGCTGTAGAATACAGTTTGTTTCATCTGACTGTCACTTGTTTTTACATTCTGGCGTCATTTTATAAATTGGTTGTCTACATCACCATAGATTTCTCGTGAAAATTTTCGTAGTATGATTTTCTACGACTTTAAATGTAATTTAACAGCTCAGCGGAGCTACGCTCGGCTTCAAACTGCTTTTGGCGATGAAGCACCATGCAAGACGACTATTTATAGCTGGTTTGCAGAATTCAAACGCGGTCGTGTGAACCTCAGTGACAAATTTCCTAATGGTCGCCCGTCCCAGTGGTCGGGCGACCACAGCAGTCAGTGAACAACAAAAAAATCGATGCTCCGTATGATCAAAACAGACAGGCGTGTGACATAACATGAGATTCAGACGTCTTTAGGCATAGCCATGAATCAAATACAATCAGAGCGTAAACGCCGTATCATCGTGCACCACGATAATGCCAGTTCTCACACGGCCAGATAGACAAATGAATTTTTGAAGGTGTTCACCTTCAACCTTTGACCTTATGAGCCATTCCGCGTACAGTCCCGACCTGGGACCTTGTGACTTTTATTTATTTCCAAAAATCAAGAACCAGTTACGCGGTCAACGATTTTCATCACCTGAAGAGGCTGTCGAATAATATGAAAAATATGTTTCAGAAATTGTCACGGATGAGTGGCATAAATATTATTTTCAAAATTAGTTCATTCGTATGAAAAAGGGCATTAACGCTAACGGAGAATATTTTGAGAAACAATCAATTCATTTCTGATCATTTATAGTATTTTTTTCTTATTCATTCCGGAAACTTATAGTGCGCCATGCGTATTTATTCTTTTTGTTTTTGAAATTTAACGCCATGTTTTGTAGAGCAGCGACATAATTATCTTAGCATAGGTATCTTACTATATGGAACTGCAGATCTACTCTACCATCCTCTATATGTCTCGCTCTACATTATCTATCATAACAATCTGTGTGACCACTATAATTACAATCAACAAATTATGAGACGACAATTTTGGTTTCAATTTAATTTAAGACAAAAAAATAAGACTAAGGAAAAATAGATAAAATTTTTTTGACCATGTATTTGGTTTTGATGATATTTAGAGTCAGTAAATTCCTTCATTCCTTCGTAGAAGACGATTCGAAATAGTGTGACTGTCCTCGGCATATAAAAAACAATAAGCTTTCCTTGCACACGACTGCAGTAATCACACATGGACACGACATTTTCATGCATTTGGTCTTGTTAAGAACTGTTACTAATCGTAGATCGTTAATATGCATGGGTAAGAAAGAATGGTTAAACACCGCGACTTTTTACATTAATACAAATGCGCGATTGCATCAATGCAATCACCTATAAATCCCAGGTATATCGATGCAGTAGCGCGCTTGCATCACTTTTGCATCGCTGCTTGAAATCGCGCGCGTGTAAAGGTAGACGATTAACGACTGCATCGCTACTGCATCGCGTTTGCATCGCTGCTAAAAGTCACCGTGTGTAACAGGTCTAAGATATCACTAATAGACTGACTCTTTGTCCGGTTCTCGTGCAGGCAACGTCCAGGTCTTGGTGCAGACGTCATCCTCAGCATCCGGTTGTGAGGGTATGGTTGTGCCAATGGTGGGCCGGAACGTGGGAAACATCGGTGGTTTGTTGGCGTTCGGATCGTGTTGTTCCATCAGCGCCGGTATGCGACACGCGACACAACGGGCGTCACGAGACAGCTGACGGGTGATCGCCGCCGCCTACAAGAAATATTATCAAGTCCAGAATAAAAAAAAGAAATATTAACTGTACGAATAAATCGTACGTGTCTGTTCTTAATTTAGGTCGTAAACATTATGCTTCCTTTACAATAAATTTTAGTGTACATCACGCACTCAGCTGAAAAAAAAAAAAAAAAAACCAAATGTAGGGGTTATTCTACATTCACTGATATAATGATAATTGATAAGAATGATGATAATCTTTGATATTTGATCGTGATATTGATGATATGATAAGGTGATAGACGGAGGTAATTAAAACGACAAACTCCGCTGAGTGCGTGATGTACACTAAAATTTATTGTAAAGGAAGCATAATGTTTACGACCTAAATTAAGAACAGACACGTACGATTTATTCGTACATTAACTATTAAACTTCTTCTTCTTCTTCTTCTTCCTGTCCTTATCCCAAGCTAGGATTTATTATTATTATGACTATATACAATTATTACATTTTCATAAAAAAAACTGACCACAAAAGTTTGTAAAATTACATCTATTTGTCAAGTTTTATTGGAATCGGTCAATGGAAAGTGAGTGAAAATCCAATAAACTGGATTCATCCCCTAATTTTCCACCCTAAGAGTGGAATATTTTCATTTAATTTGAATGGGAGCACTACTGCGACCCCCTTTACCAATAAAAAAAAAGAATCATCGAAATCAGTATGAACTCCGAGAACGAGAACAATTACTCCGAGATTTATGAAAATCTCGGAGTAATCGTGTAACATACACACAAAAAGAACCGTCGAATAAAGAACCTCCCTTTTTTAACCGTCTTCAAAAAAAGGAGGAGGTTCTCAATTCAACTGCATATTTTTTAATCAGTTGAAAAAAGGAGCGAAGATGAAGTTATCTCTAAAAGAAATCTCGTCCAGCCAACCCAAGACAATGCGAGAAATAGTCATTAGCGGGCAAGTCTAGGAAGAAATATTATAAACTAACGAATAAATTCTAAATTATCGATACTTAAATCAGTATTACAAATACATGCAATATATATTATAACATAATAAATGTTAAGAACACGAGACACTTTTTTCTGTCGTAATAGATCGCGTTCATGTCAAAAATGTAATAACATTATGCTTTTCAAGCACCAGTGTAGTGGAAGTCTGTTATTAGGATTTTCGCTTACCTTAGGGTCTCCGAGGATTTTGGCGAGCATCTGCAATCTCTTATGTAGCTCCTGCAGCTGATTTTCCGCATCATCGCGCACTCTAACCAGCTGCATCAGGTCTGCCTTGCCCTCCATGATGTCGCCAAAGTCATTCACCACTTGCTGCAAGCATATGGCTTTTAGGTCTTCGGAAATTTTAGCACCTTATGGTGTCACTATACTGTAATTTGACCACGCGGGGCACTCCTCCAGCGTGTGCTGGGCGGAAACCTGATCCCTCCCATAGTGGTGGCACTGCGTCGTCGACTTGCGGCCGATCCGATTCAGATACTCATTGAAGCATTCCTGCCCGGTGAGTACTTGCGCTGGCTCAACCAGAGTTCCAGGTTGGGCAGGATCGCGCCGACGGCGCGCTGGCGTGAGATCCACAGCTGTTCCGGCCTCTCGCGCCACTTCTCGAACGCCAGTCGGCGCAGCTTCCACCGCCTGGCGCAGACGCGCGTAAATACGCTCGTCCATCTCCGCCAGGATGTCCAGCGGGGGAAACCGTACCAGGACAGTCGCCGCGTCAAAGGATACAATGCGGTATCCTCGTGCGATCCTTACGGCCATGCAGCCCCACGCCATTGAGCATGGGTCTGCAGCGCCGGATGCCGTGAGTCGGTGTAACCCGTCTGGTGTCCCATACAGGGCCACGGATCGTACCACCACACCGCATAAACAGCGAACTCCCTCCGCAAGGCCCCCAGGTTGGGCAGCAACCGGTGCAATGGACCCGCCACCCTATCGATCCGGGGAACCAAGTGCCGGAAATGCTCCTTGAAATCCCAGCGACCGTCCAGGATGATTTAAGTATTTTCTATATAATACGGACGAGATGAACAAATTGTGCACCTGGTAGAAAGCTACTCGCCTGTCCATAATATTTGGAGTACCACTCAGAGTTTAAATCATAAAGATCTGAGGGTCACTGCCACGCCGCCCGACACCCTGAGACATAAGTTGTCAAGTATCATGTGACTGTAATTTCACCATTTCCCTTCGAAACCGGAACGCTATAACGTTCAGTACTTCCCTGGACGAACTCTGTCACAAGGAGCTCTACTACTATTCAATTACTACTAAATTGTAAACTTCAGAACTGAAATATGGTCATGGGCTTTACAAATGTTTAAGATTTCACATTTATCTCTGAACTTCAGACTGGTTTTCAATTCAGACTGTTTGACCGCAGAGGTGGTGGTGCGTAAGGAAGTCACCAAACTTATTAATGCGGAATCGTCTTAATGTGAGCGTGTTTAACCACACTTGTCGCATTCGCCGTTAACGCGGCCGTTCGCGCGCCAGTTATTTGGAACCAGGATCGGCTGTCGTCGGCTTTTGTGCGGATGCTGTAGGAAATACGTGGCAAGCAGATTCGTTACCTACCTGTGTCGAGCCGCGTTCGCACGAACCGATGCGAAACGCAGGACGTCTTTTTCGCTTTGACGTTCATGGACATAAAGCTTTTCTGTCCGGCATAATGCGATTCGGCGTTAATAAGTGTGGTGGCTCCTTAAAGCCTTCAAAGTATTTTAATACAACATCGACTACGTACCATCCAGACTTTATCTTGTCTCCGGAATTTGTCATGACAGGCTTGCAGCCGCGCTTCAAGATCCTTTCTAGCCTCTTCGAATTGCTTCTCCGTCAACAGACCAATTAGGCGAGAGTTGTCCGCCTATTGTCCATAATACATTTTAAGATTTGTTTAGCTCCGACGTACCATTGATCAGTGGTACCCAAACTTTTTTATCTTCTAGACCACATACCATATTTTTCTTTTTAAATCCTGCCTTTCTAAAAAAAATCCCTATGGATTTTTTTTAAATTCATCAACTTGAAACATGTTTTAGACAGCTGACACAATGCTTCTCACATATATTATGTTTTTATAGTAAGAAACTTTACATAATTCAGACCCGAATCTCTCAAGATGGAAACAATGCACTACTACAATTTTTTCTGACAATTTTGATTTTAGGGTTGTCAATGATTACTTTTTTTATTAATTAAGGTTTCTCAATAGTTTAATTTAAAATTCCTTCCTTTGACTTCGTGATGTTGTCTTACTTGAATTTGCATAAATCTTTTAGAATTTTGAGACTTGCAATTATAATGAAAAATAATATATTGTGTAATATGTCCAGTACATTGGACAATTTATCATTTTGTACGTGTACAGTGTGTTTTTTAAACTGGAACAATATGGGACATTAGGAACCATTCAGTCTTTTTTTGTGAAATCAATTTTGGCATAGTCCATAAAAATAAATAAACTTGATTATGTTTTTAGTACCTACTGATCGACTCGAGTTTCCTGTAAGGATCATTTCCTTGTATCGGAAGAAAAAATCGGAATAGCAAAGTCGGTCAAATTAAAGTTTTGAGCAGCAACAGCAGAAGTTGGTCAAAGTTTTTATGGAAACTGTAGAAAAAATATATAAATCTTCATAATATACAAAGTTGACACACGGGACTTCTACTCTTGGTTTGAGGATCACTTTCTTCATTAATAATAATAACGCACACACTCAAAATAGCCCCACACTAAGGAAACCCCATAGATATAGGAAAGGAAACCCTGTGTCGCGGGTGCCATGGACACACACATAGACAACCACAAATTACACCCAAACTCACAAGAGAAATAAATGTAGGGCATACAAATATTTCTCCCGGCCCGGGAATCGAACCTGGGACCTCTGCGTGGCAGTCCCGCATGGTAACAGTTCGGCCATGGAGGCAGTTGAGTTCTAGAATAGGCGAATAAAAAAAGCATGTCCGTTTTTCGCGTCAAAAACCATACTGTGAGATAACTACTGTATCCATAGTTACTATGGATACAGTAGTTAAAGTAATTATTAATGTTGATTATTACAGTTCATTATCATTTACGGTGTACAATTTATGAACATACTTACCTTGTCCTTAAGCCCGTCTAATATTTCATCGCGATCAGCTTTTTCTTCACGCATCATTTCCACGCACTCTACTAGACTCTAGGACAGTGAAAATTCATCATTTTACATTTATTTATCATCATAAATGGTCAGTTAACGGTGTTCCACATATATTCATGTATAGATATAGCTATGAGGAGTGACAGGGTTGTTAAAACCACCAAATATTAATAAATTACTTTTTTCGAATTCCGAATTTCCTGAAATGGTTTTACTGCATCATAAGACAAAACCATTGACGTATGAAGTAAAAATTGGATTTTGAATTAATTGTAATGGTGCCATGTAAAAAAATGCAGTAGATAAGTGACCTTTCACCAAAGCACAGGATAAAAAGTACGAAAATGGTCACTCGGCGCCCCTCCCTAGCTTTTGATGCCGCACCACGCCTGCGTTCTTATCGTAACTGAATAGATTTGAATAGCTTGACATGCTTTACCCTGTGCCTTTTTTTATAATATCAACTGATACACACAAAGATACCAGGCACACGAACAAGTCGTGCGCCTGGTACTAATACGCCTGTTCATAACGCTGTAGTACCGCTCAAAGCTTTAAATTGCAAAGATCTGAGGGGCACAGCCACTGCGCCCGTCGCCCTGAGACATAAGTAGTAAAAGTTCCATGTGTGTGTCACCAGACCCTTCAAAACCGAAACGTAATAATGGTCACATTAATGCTTGACGGCAGAATTATCTAAGGTGGCAGTAAACTCTTTCACATGGAAATCTACTGCTACGGCTACTAAACCTACCAACATTACTAAAGAAATATTATAATAAGTATACTAAATAAATATCGTAAATGTTAAGTGTGTACAAATGTTTATTTACAAAGGGCAACCCTTAGAGTTTCTAGCTCATTCTACTCAGGGGAATCTGCCTTATGAATGAGCCTCTGCTCATTCGCGAGGCAGATTCTAGAACTCTCTAGTTTTTAGAGTTTAATCAATAATACGATTTCAAGTGCAATTTGCTTACCTATGCAATAAAGATTATTTGACTTTAACTTTGATTACTGCTGGTAAGTTATTTAATAACCGCAAAATAGTAACGATAATATTTACTTTTCACGGTCCTACTTATTTCTGCTGTCCGTGTATAATAATTGAGGTCTTTGTTACGTGGTTTTGTGTAAATTTGTCGTCCTTTAAATACATACCCTGAGCTCATCGCTGAGTTGGCGCTGATACGCGGTGAGCCCAGAATGCAAGTAGAGGGTGCTGTCCAGCTCGGACACCAGCGCCTCGTAGTGCTCATTCAGTTCCATCACAGCTAAACAAATTAAATGATGGACATTACGATTATTTAAAACCCCTTCGTAATTTGAGTTCTTGGTCACACTCGGGTGGAAGAGAATTGAAGGTGCGAAGTTATAAGACTATAGATAGTGTGGAGATATCAAAATAACTAAAGTACCGGCACGCTATGATGGCCGTTTTGACGTTTGTCCGCTCATCATGTTTCGTATTAATTCATAACTACGTTGAAGGAGCTAATTGCTGTACATTGTTGTCAATAGTGGCGTGCAGTAAAATTTGTGAAATGTATCATTTTATGACACAACTCAGAATTTGTGTTTCGAAATTCGAAATTTTTTCAAACTAAATCTAAATCGATCGTCACTTATGGGATCGCTGGTCAGCACAACTTCTACCTCCGGCAAACTCGCGTCAAAGCTCAATGCAAATCGGAGCAATTTCGAATTAACGATATATTAAGTACAACAACAACAACATTTTTATTTTCGTTTTATTAAAATTTTTAATTAGCTTTTGCAATACTAGTTATAAATCTAAAAACTTATAGATGCGTCTCGCATTTGATTATGTTTTTTTCGATAATGAATTGAGATTTCACCTCACTATTGTAACCTGTCAAAGCGGCTATCATAGCGTTCTGGTACTGTAAGTACTATTCATCAATCATCGCTGATTGTGATTTTTATACTGATTGGATCCAGTGACGGTAGCTCCTCTATTGATATCCGCAATTAAAGCAAATAAATGTATACGCAATGAATTTCCGCAACAAAGCGGTAAATCATAATGAAAGTTGTTACTTTCAATTCAATTGTTTTTAATTTGTGTGTTTGCATATTTTTTATTGATGATAACCTCACCCGCGGTCTCGACGTTGGTGTTCACGGCGCTCAGTTGCATCAGCCCCGCGGTCAGATCGTGCCGCATTTGGTCCATCTGATCTTGGAAACCTTGAATCTGACAAAGATAGAAAATGACACGTAACTAATACATCGCTCTTGAAACCAAATACTGTCGCATGTCGTCAGTATTTGGTAAAAGTAAATAATAGCAAGAGACGAGACGAACAAGTCGTGCGCCTGATGGTAAGCTACACGCCTGTCCATTACAGTTGCAGTACCACTTAGAGTTTTAAATCCCAAGGATCTGAGGGGCACTGCCACTGCCCCCGTCACCCTGAGACATAAGTTGACAAGTCCCATGTATCTGTAATTTCACCAGTACCCTCACCCTTCAAAACCGGAACGCAGTAATACTGACATTACTGCTTTACGGTAGAAATAGATGATGTGGCAGTACTTCCCTGGGCGAACTCATTACGTAACTTTACTACAGGTTATATACTAAAATAATTTGACGGGCTCCATGGTCGAGTGGCTTGCACACCAGTTTTCATGGTGTCGCCATCACTGAGGTCCCGAGTTCGATCCCCGAACTTTTCTATATTGTCTCGGGTCTGGGTGTTTGTGGTACCGTGCGGGTACCGTCGTTGTTTCCGATTTCCATAACAAGCAAGAGCAAGTATGATGAAAATATCTACTTGCAGATAGACCAAATTATATGTATGAGCCGTAGTGTTAGTGACATGCAGTGTTTTATTGATTGACTATAGTAACGGAACTTACGAGTTTATTTGACTTTTTCTATATGATAGCGTTACTTTTAGTTCTTTTTTATTTTAACAATAACTTACATACTTAATAACAATAAATAGGTTATGTCCCAGTTATCTTTTCCTTCATTCAATTCAATTCCGGTTTTTATTCTCATTCCTTCACTGTTCATGCGGTCAGACATTGGAACGCACTTCCTATTTCTGTTCACGAAAGTACATCATTAGCTACTTTCAAATTGAGAGTTATGGGGAATTATTTATATACTGTTCCATCCATATTATATTTTGAAATACGTATTTATCTAGTTTATAATAGTTTAATGTTATTAATATTGTATTACATAGTTTTGTTTTTTATGCACGTAAGCCCGTTATTACAATTATTTTGTCCAGTATTTAGGTCTACAGGAAGAAATTTCCTATAGAAATAAGCAGTACCTTTTGTTTGTGTTTTCCTTTTATTAAATGTATTCTGTGCATTTTCCTGTGCAATAAATAATAATAAAAAAACAATAAATATTTATAATAGCATGCGGGTCGATTCCAAACCTCGGAGTTTGAGTTTCTTATTTGTTAAAAATGTTGATTGAAAACTCAACTGAAACTTGTTATAACGCAAACAACACAAATTTGATTCAAACATTTTTAACTTTGTTTATTTGAAAATAGCAATCCATAAAGTTTCTTGCTCGTTCTTCTCCGGGAAGTCAGCACAGTGAATGAACACTAACTAAAAAACGATGTTTTCAAGTGTAATTTTATTTTACCTATGGAATAAATTATTATTTGACATTTACTTTGACGCACAGACTCATAGCCCCGCACTAGGGAAACCCTGTACCTCGGACACACACATAAACAACCACGAATTATACCCAAACTCACGAGAGAATTAAATATAGGCCATACAAAGATGTCTCGGCATTCGATTCGATTGAAAGGAATTTAACTTATATCATTATTTACATTGCAGTTTCCTTACCTGTGTAGCCAGTCCGGAATCGAACCCGTGGAGCTGCTCGGAGTAGTCCTGCACCAAACTCTTCATCGTCGATACACGATTCTCTATATCCAGCACTCCTTGCAACTGTCCAGCTGAACATAATTAAGTATTATAGATGTTCCTCTTCATTAATTATATTGTTGCAACGTTTAAGACAGGTAGGAATTCTTACTCGTACAGGTACAGTTTCTTAGGATGTGTACAGATCTGGCGAATGCGTCACAAATTCGCCTGTTTGCGAAAGGCTCGCGAGCTGCCAAATTACGTAGTGCGAACTGTTCGCGTGCCGTTCGCGCGCCACATAATATTAAAGTGTATATTAACTCATCGAGTAGGTATATAACCAGAAATAAAGACGAAATAAGGGCCATCCAACCCTGGCAACTCATCAGGCAAATGGGCCTTGTGGCATTTTTAAATATTAACTCTCGTTTGCGCTGAAATCACAAATTCGAAAGCTGAAATAGTAAAGCGCCAACAACTGACCTATGTGTACGTCTCCGTATATTCCAAATATATTCTGTATTTATTGTAATAAAGATACGTACGGTGGTGTAGGAAAAACAGCAAAACATCTAATTACAAAACTAAAACAATCACATTTCATCGGTAATTAAATATGAAATATGTAATTTTACAATTTTCGTCCATTATAGCAAAGTAAATTTAAACTGGTCGTATTGAAGTGAAATAATTGACGACACCCGTCAATTGTTTCGAATTCGGGCTGGCTAATCGGAGCGCAGTTGTCACCATAATGATTTGGTAGAATAGTTTTCAAACAAATTAAATTACATTTTGTCTCTATTTCTGGTTATATACTCGATGATTTAATTGCACGCATGCAGCGCATTCGCCAGACTTGTAAGTACCCTTATGTTGTTCTTATGATATTTGGTTCTTAAAGAAAATACGAATTCACGTGCGGTAGAAGGAATACATACGTATCCATAATTTGTCACTGTCGTTCAAGTAATGATTTCCTTATTAAGCTTGTTTCTTTCCATTATATTTGGTTAATTAGTGTACCTTTTTTGTGATACCAAACGAGCAAGTCGTGTACCTAATTGTAAGCAACAAGCCTATCTATAACAGTTGCAGTGCCACTAAGAGTTTTCAATCACAAAAATGAGAGAAGCACTGTCATCGTCACCCTGAGACAAAAGTGACAAGTCCCAAGTCCCGCGTGCCTGTAATTTCACCTTGGGCAATTACTGTAGTCGTTGACCCAAATCTATATATATATATATATAATCTATCTTGTCAAATCTATATTACAGCCACGTCTCTTTCGGAGTGTAAGGCACTTTTATCTCACTTGGTGCTAAAATTACCAACCAAAATACTGCTCCATGAAACGCCTATTACACTTGCTTGGAAGTGATAGTCGTGGAAAAATTATTATAGCTAACCAAGAGCTTTGGCAGTCTTGGCGGCGTTCTCGGCGGTCTGGTTGGCTTTGTCGGCGACGCTGCCGATATTTTTCGCTAGCTCACTTCGAAGGTCATCAAGCGCCCGCCTGTTTCCAATGGTATGTACGTTTTCAGATTAATTAATATCGTAAGTTTTACTCTGTCGGCTCGCCAAGGAACAGTCGTTGCCCTAAGACCCCTCTGGCCGACCTTGTGGTTCTCAGACCTTCTTACGCAGTGTAAAGAAATTTCAGCTTTTTGGTTGAAACTTGTATTTATGAAATGTTATTAAAGATCAAATTGCCTTAAAAAGTTACTTAAAAGGTCATTCACCAATGATACAATAAGGAAGTCATACCAAAATGAATTTTACGACTCACAGGTTAAAAGTCAAATTTGTTTTTTGTTACAGAACACTGGCTGAAAGATTACGAAGTGATTAACAACATAGAAAATTTTGTAATAGTCAGTTCGTTCATAAGAAAGAGCTTAAGTAGAGGTGAACCCATGATTATTACTAAACGTAACTTAAAATTTAAAGAGCGTAAGTGATATCCTTACACACTTTAAATTTTAAGTGATAACAGATCTTTCTACTGAAGGAACTATTGAGATTTCATGTGTGGAATTGACTCAGTTTGTCGACGTCTTATGTGTATACAGGCCCCCTCTGCTAATTTTAACGAGTTTGAATTAATTATGGAAGATAGTTTAAAGCGGATTTCTCCAACCAAAAAAAACGTAGTAATATGTAGAGATTTCAATGTAAACCAGTTGGAAAACTGTTCTACTTCTGTAAGACTCATTAATTTATTTAAAAGTTTTAACTTGATTAATCTTTCCTTAGAACCAACTGGCATCACTGCCTCCTCTTATACTTGTATTGATAACGTCTTTTGTAACACAGACGCAGTGTCTAAATCAATAATAAATTGCTTAAGATCAGACCACAGCGGCCAATTGGCTTCTTTTAATCGTAAAATGAGCAAGAAGGTAGACCAATTTCTCTGCAGACCGATTACCACAGAACGAATCATTAGATTTCAAAATAATATCGGCAATGGTTTAAATTTCCTACCCCATATACCGGAGGTTCCAAATACTTTATATAGCACAATATTTGGTTTAACTAAAAATGAATTTGATAATGTATTTACATCGAAAACTTTAACTTTCCATGGAGAGACTAAATTCAACGATTGGGCAACAGTAGGTATTAAGTCTCGTTTGAAAGAGCTATATGCTATGAAAACTTATAATACTAATTCCAATTTCATTGAATAGGTTAGAAATTTTTCAAAAATATTTAAAAAAGTATATGTAGCTGCTAAAGTTAAGTTTCACAGCGACAAAATTAGACAATCGATAAATAAATCTAAAACAGCTTGGAGTAGCCCAAGCTTTTGAATCGTTCTTTTCAGAAATTGCTGTGAACACTACAGAATCATTAAATTCCTCCCCTTCTCTTGCTATTGATCTCCTAAAGGAAAATGTTAACGTTTGTGGCAGTTTATTTAATTTCCGTCATGTTAATCCACAACACATCATAAAAGCTTTTAAATCAATACATGTTAAAAAAACGGAAGATCTGTGGGGTATATCAACTAGTGTTATAGACACAGTTATTGATCTAATTTCCCCACATTTAGCTGTAGCTTTCAATAGGTGCGTTGACGAAGGTGTTTTTCCCGATTTAATGAAATACAGCAAGGTTATTCCCTTATTCAAAAGCGGCAGGAAAGTTCATCCTAGCAACTATAGGCCCATTTCAATTTTACCAGCTTTAAGTAAAATATTCGAAAAGGTTATGCTGACTCAATTACTGTCCTATTTTTGAAGGAATCATATTTTTCACAGTGAACAATACGGGTTTACTAGTGGTAGATCGACTAGCGATGCGGGGGTAGCGTTACTAAAACACATCTTTGATGCTTGGGAAAGGTCCCAGAACGCTATTGGTGTTTTCTGTGACCTCTCAAAGGCATTTGATTGCATTGATCATATTACTCTTATTAGGAAGCTGGAACATTACGGTGTAAATGGCAAGGCGTCGAAACTTGTCTCGTCATATCAGTAGAATTCAGAAAGTAGACATAAATGGAGTGACTTCTTTAGGTTCTCCAGTAAAAATAGGTGTTCTGCAGGGCTCAATACTTGGACCTTTCTTATTTCTGATTTATATTAATGATCTGCCATTCTTTGTTAAGGACCATTGCGAAATAGTATTGTTTGCTGATGACACATACTTGATTTTTAAAACAGACAGACATGACATTAACTATGACCATATTAATGATAATAATCTAAGGTAGTTTATTGGTTTAATGCTAACAATTTATTGCTTAATACCATGAAGACAAAATGTGTTAAATTCGAATTACCTAACGTAAAATCGATTAGTCCAAGCATAGAAATAAACGGAGAAAAGTTAGACCTTGTTAATAAAGCAGTCTTCTTGGGAGTGACCTTAGATAGTAAACTTCAATGGTTTCCACGTATATCTTCCCTGGCCTTTGATCTTGACTTGACTTTGATTTGTTAAACACCTTTTTTTACACTGATCTACTCAAAACCAAATAGATAATTAGGAGATTAAGTATCTTAGGGCATTGACTGTATTATCTACCGTAGGTAGGTACCTGCACGACTGACATAAACGTCTATGTATATTTTCATAGATATTTTTAATAAAACCTTTTTGCTTTTTATTTTTAATAAAAGCTTCTTGAAAAATAGGCGCCTTGACGTCGAATTGCGGACACCAGCCGGTTACACCAAGTACCAAGTACTCTTCTTGAAATATTCACATATCTGACGCATCGTAGAATAATACCTACTTTCACCAATGATACACTAGCGGGTAAAATTGTTAGGAAAAAATTAAAATCGCTCACATTAATTCGCCATAAGTGATTTTTTCATTCTTGAGCAAAGAATCCTTTTGTTGAGTAGACTTAGGCTTGGTATCGGAGGAGATGGACTGTTCCGCGACTTTTGGGGGACCGTGTAATCCTCCTGTGACCATCCCACCTACGGCGCACAATGTTTTGTAAAACCCAATTCCATGATATTCCCTTTTTGTTCAAAATTCCTATAGTTTGATTTAATGGAGATACGTATAGTTTCGGAAAAGAAAAAACAGATAAGAAGTTTTCGTCCGAATAAACATAAAAACAATCATGTTTCAATTTATGTTTGAAAATTATTATTATAAAAAAGTCGTTTGTGGCCACTTTCACCGCCTTCCAAGTAGAATGCGTGTGTTTAAATACGCACGCAGCCTCCGATTTTTCTGGAATTTATGTGCGAAATTCTGACTCGGAAGACGCGTGAATTTCCCAACCAGAATCGGGCCTGCGTGGCGGACTATATCCTAAACCTACGGCTGAGAGGAGATTCGTACCCAGCAGTGGAAAGTATAAATGGGTTGATGATAATGAAAATGATTAGCAAAATGACTTAGTTATTAGATAACACCATAAATGGCAGCATTTCAAAGCTACCTGTTTCTCCAGGTCTAAACATGACCCCGGCCACGGCCGCTGAAGGAATCTTAGCATCGGGAGCATCGGCAAGCTCCCAAGCAGGTGATTGTGGAGTTTTCTGATGGGAGACACGTTAGTATTACTAGTAATACGAGCCTCGATGCAAAAGAGTTCGTCTACTAAGCTAAATTTAAGACACTACGTTTCAAAATGAAATTTAGATCAGAAATTTATAGTTCTGTGCCTAGAAAATAAACTGTACATTCTATAACTAAATATAGCTTATTTTTTGAACAATTTAAAAATATTTAAAAATAATGAATTCTTCCACCAACATCAACGCATAAAAGTTCAGCCATCGCGGTAAAACAAGCAAAACAGTTCGTCTACCACTTGATTGTGTCTCTTTTACTCTCAATAACGGCCTTAATCCTAAGTGCCATTGTCACTACCCACTCTTTACATTCTTCTGTAAGGCTAGCACGACAGATACTGCATACTGGTTTCCAATATGTTTTGCTATTTCACTTCATTAACATTCCCCTCTACAAAATGCAGACGACCCTCACCTTGAGTCGACATGCAACCCCATATAATTACAGACCCAGGCAACTTCACTTTTCTCTTTATGCAATCTTTATGGAATGCTTCATCTTTATTTCGAATAACTTAACGGAAAACTGTTCGTCACTAACAGTCACTTCAAATTTTGATTCATCCCTCGTCACTCCATATTATTTGACGCCACTAAGTCCAGTTCAAGTAATCGGGAGCGAATTTCCGTCTTTTCTTTTTCTGCAATGGAGTGAGTAACGGTTTCTCTTTAGCGGTGTAAAAGACATAACCCTTTCTCTTCGGGACCCTTTTGCAAGTATCGACTGAGACATCTTTCTGAATCACATCACGCCGTTCCACGGTAAGTTCTTCTGCACGGGCACGACGGTTTTTCTTGATAATTTTCTTTAAGATTTGATTTTCATTTGTAATTCGTGGGCGGCTCGGTTTCTTCAAACACGAAACTGTGCCGTTTTTCTTGTGATGTTGGATGGTTGTCTGGATAGTACTTCTTGGCAGTAATAGATCTTTAGCCATTTGGTATGCAGATTTTCCATTATTACTGCTGGTTATTATAATATTTCGAACTTTTTCGGTGACACCGCGACACATATTGGTCAAAATAATTAGTGAAAATAATGAAGAAATAGGGGAGAGCGGGGCTGAAATTGCCGGAGGCAAGTTGTGCCGTAACAAAAATCTCAAAAACGGAAAGAGATAGCCATATGTTCATATTACGTCTTGAAATGCCGAGCAATCTGGCAGTCTAGCGCATGCACGACGGCCAATTTCGTTGCTTCAGGGACGCGCACGGAACGGTAGTAAGTGTATGGGTCCTCCAGGGCCACGTGAGTAAATGTTTTCGTTTTCACACTTTTTGGTCTCAAGTCAGCATTTCTGGTGCTATGGATATGGGAGTTATACTAATACATTTGTAATTTGTCCAATAATGTTAATTTATGCAATTTTAACACTTTTTGTACATTATTTTTTGCCATATGATAAAATGTTAATGTCATCCAAACGGGGTGTGTCCAAAAGTTCCTATCATTCGGGGTCAATTGTGCCGCGGCACAACCAACCACCACCAAACTTTGTTAACCTTTATTATTTTGTTTGATAGAATGAGAAAATACCGGCGAAAAACACAGAGAGGGAACTACTTCTCAGGACCTGTTACAAGGGGCTGCTGGTGCGGTCATTAAGGACGGGTGCAAATTAAAAACCGTTGCGCGTGAATTGAAGATTTGTCACACAACGCTGCAATGGTATATCAAGAAAATAAATAGTGATCTTTCTTCTTCGGTTGGATACAACCAAGACTGGTTTTTAATGATGAACAACAGACGTCATTGAGTCATATATCCGAAAAAACTCTTCTATCTACTTCGGCCTTTTAAAATAATAAGTTAGACAACTTGCATACCAGTGTGCGGTGAAATTTGGTGTCGAGAAGATTCCACAGTTGAAATCGACCTGGTTTGATGTAACAGATCTCATTTACATTAAAATTAAGTACAAATTATTAATATACATATATTATAACATACTTTGAATTTGCCGTATCACGAAGAACTTATGTTTAGTTAAAAACTGCTCAAATATAAAAACATGTTTTGATGATTTTTTTTAATTTATTAGGAATAAGGGTATCAAATTGTATGGTTTCTTATTTCTAAATCCATATCGCATCTATATTACAGGCCAAATATTATGCACGGCACAACCGACCTCAGCTACGGCACAACTTGCCCCAAAGAGGGATCAGTAGTGCCCTACCACCGCTGTTCATAAAAACAATCATCTATAAAAAGCTATTCAAAGTGCACAAAAACTTCATATAAATTTAAGCTATAATGAAATTTTACATAAGATAGATTAGAATTACTAACCGTAGCATTGGTTTCAGCCGATTTATTAAAATCGGCACTTTCAGCCCCGTTCTCCTTGGATCATACCTTTTTATACCCTTTGACATCTTAAATGACGATCGTATTCTATTTTTAATTTGAATTTTATATATTTTTTGTAAAACAATATAATGAGCCTGAACGCTCAGCGTACACGAAATATTTTGCATCAATTAAGAACTAGACGAAATACAAATAACAATTTAGAAACATATATTTTTCCTTAATAGTGCCAAAGTGACCCTTTTAATGGAGTAGTACTACATTGTATTACATGTTTGTTGCTAGTGCCCACATGACATGCACATGAAAAAAAAATCGGCGTAATGTATGACTAGACCTAGACGAACTCTTTTACATCGGGGTTCGTAATCATATATATAAATTATACAATACGAATTTACTACGATTAAACGTTCAATTGATAAATCAAATAAAAACATTTCTTTTATTTATTTGTTTGTAATGCATTTCGAATCACTATGATCCGCCCTGCGGCTTACAATATTTTCATACATTTTACGTAATTTTCATGCAATTATAATAAAGCTGTCCAACTTAATCACGACCTAATAATAACAATAATATAGTATAATAATATTAAGAAATCGAATAAGTTTGTCAAGATTAAAAAATGAAAACACGTGAAATGTAAATTTATAAGAAATCTTCAAAAGAGTTTATCGCTATTTTGTTTGACATTATTATTAACCAAGTGTGTAGTTTGTGTAGTTCGTTATTCGATTAGATTAGATTTTTTTTGTGCCAGACTACCAAGTCTAGTCTAATATAGCCAGTCTAGAATAACATGCCAATTTTTGGAGTCGATATGTTGAAGAGCAGCACTAGCAAAATAGCAATGTTTGTGATAAATAAACCATTTATCTATCTATCTACCGATCAATGACGCGAATTGTGGTTCGATGTTGGCAGTTGTAGTGCATTGCACTCACGCGCTCTGCATACCGGACAGGAGGCCTACCACAACCTCTTAAAACAATATTACTTTAACCTTACATTGACTTTTCGTACCATAACGCGCTTAAAGTAAGCTTATTGTAATGTTAAAACTATGATATTTTATTGGCAGCTTTGTGACTATTCATTCACTCAGTACGTACTACGACGCGACTTTAACGTTAAAGTAATATTGCACTTATGTCAAATTTAGCAATCTTAAAATTGTTACACGGATGCAATGGAAACAATATTATTTTCAGTTTTATTGTCTTAATATTGATTTGTAATGATTAAAAGTTATGTTGAACTTATTTATTTACATATATCTCTTCAATATTTTGTTTATTTTTTATTTAATAGCACATAGTAAATAATTTTTCATAATTATTAATACAAAGATCGAACACTCAGAAAAAACACTCAGAAA